TGATCTGATAAGACCAGGGGCGTCATGCATAAAGCATAGCGATTGTATACAGAGACTGCAGGGCAATAGCAGATCTACCAGAGCAGCTTTGGATGGAAATTGTAAGGTCCCCTTTCGAAGAACCACTTTTGCTCAAAGTGCTCTGTCTGTGAGAGGATCTGCAGTTTGGAACTCACTTCCTGTTCATTTAAAGTCTGTAACCAGTTTTAGTACGTTCAAAAATCAAACAAAACTCTGGTTATGTCAAAAACAGACCTGTACCCATTTTTGATGTTTTACATTTTGCTGTTTGTATACATTATGTTGTGCTATTTTAACTGATTATCATTTCAATTTTTAGAGTTACTTTTTAAAAGCCCATCTAGGGACAAGTGCTGCGAATTAGCTGTTGCTGTTGCACCACGATGCTAACATGGGATGATGTTTTATTCAGTTTGTCTATGTCGATGTGTGTCTGTCCCTATCAAATAAACTTTATAATAATAATAATAATGCGTGCGCACAAAAAATGTGCGGTCCCATATTTTACACAAAAGTCGTCCTATATAAAAATTTACTTTGCGTCAAGGTTTGCGTAAATATACACATTCTTTTTCGCTGGCATGAAAATGTGCGGCAGCCACGCAAATTTTTCTGTGGACAATATCAAACCACAAAGCATCAGAACTCACCTAAATACATAGAAATCTGACTACATTCAGTGTTACTTAGACCAAGAAGCACCAAAATGATGTTTTTCATGATTTTAATATTTTATTGCCTAAACATAAACGATGAAACTGAACCTCATTTATCCTCAGACAATAAGCTAACACGCACACAAAATAAAAAAAATAAAAGTAAAAGTATGCAAAAACCTCGCTCAAAGTACTTTTCCTCAGTTTTTGTCTCATAAAGATGTAACGCACTGGTCCATGAGCCGGAGCGCATGGAGTGCATCTGCGAGGTAATTTCATTCTCACTTAAGAAAACAGGGTTGGATCAGCAGATTAACTCAAACCTGATGATTAAAAATAATCAACAGGTTTAATTATTTTTAAGGTGATCAAGGTGTGTATGCAATCACACATACATAAGTAGCTGTGCAAAGGTGAGCCGCGTAATTGAGGAGCCCTTTGGCTCTGATGGAGAACATCATGAATGGAAGGATTCAGAGGGAGCGATTGATCAGAGATCATATTGATCTGTTTATGATGGTTTATTAGTGTTTAGATCGCTCAGACTGATCATCCCAGATCTCTGAGCAAAACTTAAAGAAGGAGCAGTACTACTGGTCCAGCTGCAGCCATCCTTCAGTCTAGCCGCCCGCTTTGTGAATGCGGCTTATGAACATAAAGCATCTTTATTCTGTAAATGTACACCTTATACACATGAGCTATTCTACTAT